CCAGAATAGTTTATTTAAACTCGACTCAAGTGGAGCAATAATGTTGGCCCAGCCCCCTTGCCCCTGTGTCGGACCCGCGTGGGGATTCAAGTGCCCCTACTGTCAGAAGGGCTTCAAGGGAAAGCTTCACATCCGCACACACACAGGAGAGAAACCTTACAATTGTGGTGTTTGTGGCAAGGCATTTGGTGGTCGCTCTGACATGAACCGTCATTTGCGCATACACACTGGTGAGAAGCCATACCCATGTAAGGTCTGCGGCAAAAAGTTTGCTCGTGCAGACTACCTGTCAAAGCACATTACCACGCACCTCGGGATTCCATTTGCCAAGCCAGTGCATAGTTTGCAACAAAGTCTTCAAAATTTAGAAAATATGCAAAACCTACAAAATCTACATAAGTTACAAAATATGTCTAATGAATAATACCAAAATTGCCCCAAATATTTAAGAAGATAAATTTTTATATATATATTTACATTCTTATAATAAATTAGTTGATATTGTACGCACTGAAAGTGCCACATCTGCTTATAAAGCAGTAAAATCAAAGGTTTTGAACCAGTGACAGAAACTGTGTTAACATACCTAGTTTTTTAAAGTTAGGTATTGATATTGTTGTCATATTTCTTATTCTCAGAAGAGATTAAAAATGTAAGTAGTTGGTAGTGGTAAGGATGGGAGAGTACATCTGCAGCGTTGAGTATCCTTGTGATCAGTGTTGCACGCAGAGCTTCACACCGTCTGCCGTGCTTCAAGCCTTTACCAGATTTCTTGTTATCCAGATGACTCTCTGATATTTTTTATCATTTTATTATTTATTCTGTCATTTCTCTATTGTTTTTATTAAGAATTTTGATATGTATATTCTTATTTTGATTTTTTAATAATTGGTGTCAATGAGGAGCTAGAAAGCTCTTTCCTCTATTGCTGACGGCCAGTGGCTTGTGCTGGGCCAGGAGGCTTGAGGTCATAGTACAAGGTAGGTTAGTGTGGGCGTGGGTTGTATCCAGTGCCCTGTGGAGTTACTCTCCCTCTTACCACCCAACCAACTGCACCATCTGCGTCACCTGGCCGCTTCCCAGTGCGACATGACTGCCAAAATCACCTCATGCCTAGCTGCAAAGTCCCACTTTTCCCCTTCTTTTTTCTCTCTCAAATTCCTCTGATTTTAAGCGACAGCAGGGGCACAGGGCCTTGAACCTGCCCAAGGTTGGTCTGGAGACCCGAGGTTGCCTCGCTATGGTCAGTGTTAGGCAATAGCTGTGCGCATAGCCACAAGTGTATAACTATGTACTGGACTGTTTTTGCTGTGGAGGTCTCAAGCCTTCTTTATTGTCATTGTGGTCTGGTGTTGCGGAGGTTGCCTGACCTGTAACCCCACCAGTGGATCATGTGAGCATCTATGTCACTTGCCTGGTGAACCTGACATTTCTTGAATACCTTTGATTTATTTTCCACAATAACACTAGAAATGGGAAAAGTTATATTTGTTGAAAGTTTGAGGTATTAAGGAATGGTATGCCCAAAGTGAGTTTGAGCCAGCCACTGGTGGTCCAATGGACCATGGTGGGTTGTAGGATGGGCTGGTGTTAATATAACAGTCTGGCTTTTGACATGCTGGCTGGACTCTAAACTGCCTGCTCGTGATAGTGTCAAAAGTACATACTATAGAGCATTTGTGCACTGAATGGTAAGTTGACCAAGTCAACTTAAAATGAAAGCAGAGCTTGTTTATGGCGTAAGTGACTGTTGATTTTTATTTGTACCATACCACAGATGTGTCCCTAGTGTTATTGATAGATATTAGGAATACTGTAGGTGAGCCTAGCTCATTAAACTGTAGCTTTTAGTCCTCCACCTGTTCTTTCCTGTGTGCATGAGCAGTGACCGTGGAGGAGGCACGCGAGTCACACACCACACACCTCTGATCTTTGTCTTCAGCTTCTTCACACCTCGTTCTTTCCTTAGTTTGACAAAACTTTCCTCGTCTTTCAGTTTTAAAACTATGTCGTGATTGACAGGACTACATTTTCAGCCATACCTTGTACTCTTGCAGCCTAAAAGGAATGAAAAAATGGGTTTAAATTTTTTTGTGTGGTTTAGAGAGGATTAAAGTTGTCTTACTTTAGCAAGGTACTTGAAGTTGACATGTCTGTGAAAGGATATTGGAAGATAAGATGATGATGCAGAAAAGCAAGATTGGCTGAGATTGTGGCAATTGAGCCTTGGCTCTTGAGAGAGTGCAAGTTTTAGTGATGTAAGGTCAGCCAAGCTGCGACTGAGGACGGCATGTTAGGAGGAGCTACACCACATGCACACCTTGTTGGTCTGTGATATTGTGAAAAGCTTGTTGGGTCCCATGTGCTGCCCTCCTGGAGGGCTTTCTGGGCAGCAGTAAGCAATGGGTACTCGCATCTCTTGTCCAAAAGGAAAATTGTGTTAGGCTGAGAATTCTTTAGAATTCCTGTGTTAATGACTAATGTCTGTTACCAAAATGAG